TCTTTTACCAAAAAATAGTGGGATTGACCGTCACACGCCCCCACGGCTAAAAGGGGCGAGCATGTTTGGCGTGACGAGGATTCAAACCCGCGACCCACAGATTGCGAGTCGAGCGCCCTAACCACCTGGCCATGCCGGGCCTATAAATGAAGAACAACTTGATGTAATGTATTCTTTTTGTACAAAAATAATGTACTATTCATCAGTATAATCAAATACCATATTTTTCAGAGATCAATTACATATTACTTTCAACTTTAAAACAGTGTTCTGACTTTTCAGCTCTCTTTTCTTTACATCATCAGATGTCCTGTGCAGAGAGGTGGTTTTGTCAAGACGGGCAACAGGATAACTAAACTAAAAGGCTTTCCTTACAACTTTAAAATGTCAAAAAGGCCTTCCTTACAACTTTAAAATGTCAGGTAAAAAATAAAGAGATGCATTATTCTAACAGAGCTATGGGAAGAACTTATTCAAGAAGAACCAGAACTCTAAAATTTGCCAAAAGCCAATCGCTTCATGCCACTATACTGAAAGTGGGCTCCAACAAATTTGCTCTTGATGAATGGACGTAAGCACCACTTCCAGGACCAGGCTATCCAACGGAGTGACGTCTGTCTTTTCTCCAGAATACGTTAAATACCAATTCAAAGCCATGCACAAAAACAGAAAGCTTGAGGATGAATCACCAAAGCCATTTCAGCCCTGGCTATATCTCTAATAATGCTTTGCGATGTGTCAGCAGGAGGCCACAAATCTTTGGTTCGCTAGAAGATGTTGTTTACTTTAAAATAAGAGTTTCAGTATTTTTCTAAGTTTTATATGCTACAATAGGCAAATAGTCAGACCCATTAGTGTGTTCTTTCATTCTAACAAGAAAGACCCTTTTTAATTGTGTGCAGATGTATTTAGTCAATAATCTCACCGACCTTGGGTTAAAAGTTCTCCACAAAAAGAAAAAGAGTTTAGTAGACAATACTAAAGTAATGATATTACAGTAACTCAAGTAATATCCCCTCATGAAAATATACCTAGTTGACATTAGGATTGTTGTGCTTTAAGTATTCCATGAATATCAAGACCTGTTGATGGGAAAATGTTATCTTTGCTAGAGACAAGATTCACTCAGTGACCAGTTTGAAATAAAAACTGTATCTCGTTAGATTGTATTATTATTATTTATACTTTATATTCATAATAGGTATTATACTGTAGCATACTTACCTTGTATATAGGTTAAACTTATTTTTAATCTGTATTGATATTGGATGTCTTATAGTTTGTTTTGTGTTCACTTTTACTTGCCTTAAACAGAGTGTTTGTGGTACCAGGAGATATGAGGCTCTTTGATGACATCATCAATATGTGTCAGCTTTTTAAACTGAGCAGATGCTTGTGGGAAATATAGTTTATTTTAGTTTAATTGTTCACCACCAGATAGATGATTATGTGATGGATTAGGCACTTATAATAATAGGTTGTTTCTATAAGCTAGAGGGTGAAAGTGAAGGATTTCTTTCCCTATAGAGTCAGTAGTAGGAAAAAACAGCAACACAGTTGTAGCGAGCAAGAAAATCTCTAAGTCTACTAGTGGTGTAGTGGCAGTGGCCAGTGTTAAGGAAATCTTTTACTAACACTACTAGTGGTGTAGTGGCAGTGGCCAGTATTAAGGAAATCTCTAAATATATTAGTAGTGTAATGGCAATGGCCAGTATTAAGGAAATATTTTACTAACACTACTAGTGGTGTAGTGGCAGTGGCCAGTATTAAGAAAATCTCTAAGTCTACTAATGGTGTAGTGGCAATGACCAGTAATAATAATTCATTGATATATAGATCACTTTATGAAGATAGTAAGCTATAGTTAAAGATTTTGAAGGTGTTATCTTGACTTGCTGATATCAAAGGTGTTTTTGGTAATATCTGAAAATAGACACGTCACTAACCTTTAATGGTTGTGGAGATTTTCATTATCAAATAAAGTATTTTATGGCATTTGAGATAAAGGAAATGAAAAAATATAAACTAGATGGCATTATGTAAATGTATTTAGTAACTTTTTGAGATGTTAAAGCTGAATTTTTAATCAACTAAATAAATGAAGATTCTAATTTAAAAAAGAAAAAAATCCTAACTTAGCCTTGTGAGTCTAGTGATCATTAAGATAATTGAGCATAGTGATAATAAAAACTTGAATTTAGTGATCATTCAGACGACTGGATCTAGTAATCATTAATATCTTATTACACTAGTCATACAAAGTTTGATTCGGAAACGTTTCGAAAGATCTAAGTTATAAATATTCATTTCTTACAAAATAATGGTGTTTTATTTGAAAGATTTAATTTATTTGTTTGCACAAAATCTACTCATAGAATACACTTTAAAAAGACTAAAGCATTATTATATGTTTTTGTATAAAACATTTGGCGTAGCAAGTATCTAGCGTTATTTAGAAACAATCACTTTTATCTTCTTAAGACATAAAGTAAATCTTTAACAAAAATTTTAATCTTCGTTATCTCTTCCAATAATTAAGAAGTATTTTTTATTTTTATTTTGTCTTGCATCTAACAGACGTGGCAATTAGTTTGGAACTACAGGGACCTGTGTTCCTTCACGAACCTTCACAAAATGTCGATTTTGCTAACAGTACTGGAGCTGTCATTCCATGTTCAGCACATGGAAAGCCTTTTCCAACAATCACTTGGTCCGTCAACGACAGGACAACGGTCAGTGATATTCCCGGTCTCCGCTACGTCCGCAGTGATGGATCACTCGTTTTCCTGCCATTTCAAGCCCACGATTTTAGACAGAACATCCATGACGCCAGCTACCGATGCATTGCCTCTAACTCAGTTGGTGTAATAGGTAGCAGAGAAGTTAAAGTCAGGGGAGGTAAGAGAAATAATGTATTTGCTCATTTCTTTCAATAAATAAACTATCAAATTTTATGCTTAATTTTTTTAGCCTTAAAATAGTCCTCCTTCTTATGTTAGAAGGTACTGAATTTTAAAGAGATTATTCAATAAGGTACACAAGTCAACTTTTTCATTTTTCTGGAAATGATAAAATACTATAACATGAACTTATTTTGGAGATGTTTAGAAATTATAACATGAACTTATTCCGGAGATGGTAAAACTCTATAACATGTATTTATTCTGGAGATGGTGAGACACTATAACATTAACTTATTCTGGAGATGGTAAGGCATTGTAACATGAACTTATTCTGGAGATGGTAAGGCATTTTAACATGAACTTATTCTGGAGATAGGAATATATTACAGTGCGATATTCTACTGAAGTTGGTAAGACATTATAATATGAAGCTATTCTGTAGATGGTAAGACACTATAATATGAAGCTATTCTGGTTATGGTAAGACACTATAATATGAAGCTATTCTGGTTATGGTAAGACACTATAATACGAAGCTATTCTGGAGATGGTAAGACACTATAATATGAAGCTATTCTGGTTATGGTAAGACACTATAATATGAAGCTATTCTGGTTATGGTAAGACACTATAATATGAAGCTATTCTGGTTATGGTAAGACACTATAATATGAAGCTATTCTGTAGATGGTAAGACACTATAATATGAAGCTATTCTGGTTATGGTAAGACACTATAATATGAAGCTATTCTGGTTATGGTAAGACACTATAATATGAAGCTATTCTGTAGATGGTAAGACACTATAATATGAAGTTATTCTGGTTATGGTAAGACACTATAATATGAAGCTATTCTGGTTATGGTAAGACACTATAATATGAAGCTATTCTGTAGATGGTAAGACACTATAATATGAAGCTATTCTGGTTATGGTAAGACACTATAATATGAAGTTATTCTGGTTATGGTAAGACACTATAATATGAAGCTATTCTGGTTATGGTAAGACACTATAATATGAAGCTATTCTGGCGATGTTAAGACACTATACTAAAGGTCATTTTGGAGATGAAAAGATCTTATAATACGTACTGATTGTGGAGATAGTAAGACACTACGAACGTATTTTGGAGGGGGAAAGACATTATGTTGTGAACTTATTCTGGAAATGGTAAAGCACAATAATACGAACTTCAGTTTTTAATTGTTGGTGTTTTATAACAACATAGTAAGTTCCACATTAGTGTTTTACTTCGAGCTAAGATTTAAATAAGAACTTCAGGAGTGCCAACACGAACTCCTCGCTAGCTCAATCAACCACATAACCCTACTCCTCGTGTTTGCTGTACTCGCGTAATTTCTAAGTAAAACTTCATGCCGGAAATGAGTTCTCCGTTCGTTCCTCTCCCTCCCTATTGAAAACATATCCCCATCTCCTCTCCCGCTTCTCTTGAAAACTCGTTCAATCCACAACTGAAGTTGTTAGTTAGTTAGTCCCGCATATAGTTAAAAGGTATTTCCATTAAATTTGGTATTTCTGTCTGTGAATGACCTTAACCCATATATTCTGAGTAGACGTGTGGATACAAATAAAGGAAATTCGATTTAAAATAACATTTTTTAAAGTTGTGATATTTTTTTTAAAATGATGGAAGTACGAAATATGCTGTATTAAAGTAAACGGTAATATACATGCGACACACGAATCTGTTAGAGCCTTCTGCTATAGACTTCCCATCCATCCCTGTGTCTTACACACAGTTAACGAGCTTCAAACTCGAGATTTGTGTATTTATTGAACCTTTACGTTTATAATAAGTTTTTGTTCTCTAAGGAAATTCATAGTTCAACTAGTCATTTAATTATATCCATATTTAATTCAAATGAGTAAAGATTGTGCAGAAAAACTTGAAGCGATATTTTACCATTTCTTTACTTAAAATAATACCTTTCTTTAGTATATAGCCCCCCAGTGGCACAGCGGTATGTCTACGGACTTACAACACTAGAATCCGGGTTTCGATAGCCGTGGTGAGCAGAGCACAGATAGCCCATTGTGTAGCTTTGTGCTTAATTACAAACAAACAAACTTTAGTATATATAACTACATTTTAATGAAACCTTTAGCTGAAACTGTCTTCTTCGTTCTTTTTTATTATTTGTTTGTTTTAGCGGAAACCTACACAATATGTTATCTATGCTCTGTTCACCACGGAGAATCGAACCCCGAATTTTAGCGGTGTTATTAATTTGCCGCTGACTCCCCGGCGTTTCTTCACTTCCAAAGAAGACAGGTCAACCTGTCGAAAATGCTAGTGTGTCATAGTTCTTCTTTTTTTGCCGTTTCTTCCAAAAACTTTTTTGATCCTAAATGTTATATTTAATTCAGTGCGATGTCTTTCTGTATGCATTTATCTATCATGGTTTTTGCCTTTTCATACCTTTCTTTCTGCAGGTTTAATTCCCTTTCGACATCAATAAGACTTAGTCTATAAAATACCAAACAAGACTTTTCTGTGGATTGATGACCAGGGCTTCTTATCATTCTTGTTCGTGTGAGTGGACCTGTCTGAGTGTGTTATTTAAAGACTTGCATAAATTTGTTGACATCAGAAAAGGGCGGGCCCAAGCTGTTGGCCAGAACTCTATATATACCTTAATTTTACAATCTACATTCACAGTATTGACGAAAACGCAGTTAAGCTTTTACTTAACGGGGTTCCTTCGGATAATTAGATGATCTACCGAGTTTGTATGTGGAAATTCGTTCATTTTCTGTTTTTCAGTTAACGCCATGATACCGCAGAAAATATTCATTGATTCAGAATATACTGAAGAGCAAAATTGTTGTTTGATGATGAATAGAAATAAAGTTGAGAAACAAAAATCATTCTTATTTTGTCATATGGCTAAACACTATATGGTGTGCTTAGTTATTTGGCTCTCACTTCCTGTAGTGCAGCAAAGAAACCTTAACTCGGATGCATGACACAACAGATGGTTTAGTTTAAACGATGACCTTCCAAAGTATGATATCTCTTCTGATTAATGATAATTGCATAAAAACACAAATGTGTTTCACCATTGAGGCATTAGTAAAATTTTTAATTGTCTTAGTAGCATTAGAGTCGATCCAATGGCATTAGTGTAGGACTTACCGTAGTGACGTCAATACGAAACATAATAACCAGTTGCACCAATGAGATACGGACTCAAGCTAATGACATTAGCCTAAGACTTACCCCCACTAATGCTACTAGGTTATTCTGTTTATTACTGACGTCACTACAATAAGTCCTACACTAATGTTATTAGATTGATTCTGTATCTCATTAATGATACTAGGCTATTCTGTTTATTACTGACGTCACTACATATAGAATCAATCCCATGACATTAGTGTAGGACTTACCGCAGTGACGTCAGTAAGAAACACAATAACCTAGTAGCATTAGTGAGATACAGAGTCACTCTAATGACATTAGTGTAGGACTTATTGTAGTGACGTCAGTAATAAACAGAATAACCTAGTAGCATTAGTGTGATATAGAGTCAATCCAATGACATTAGTGTAGGACTTATTGTAGTGATGTCAGTAATAAACAGAATAACCTAGTAGGATTAGTGTGATATAGAATCAATCCCATGACATTAGTGTAGGACTTATCGCTAGTGACGTCAGTAAGAAACACAATAACTAGTAGCATTAGTGAGATACAGAGTCAATCTAATGACATCAGTGTAGGACTTATTGTAGTGACGTCAGTAATAAACAGAATAACCTAGTAGCATTAGTGTGATATAGAGCCAATCTAATAACATTAGTGGAGGATTTATTGTAGTGATGTCAGTATTAAACAAAATAACTTAGTAGCATTAGTGTGATGTAGAGTCAATCCAATGACATTAGTGTAGGACTTATCGCTAGTGACGTCAGTAAAAAAAAACAGAATGACCTAGTAGCATTAGTGAGATACAGAGTCAATCCAGTGACATTAGTGTAGGACTTATTGTAGTGACGTCAGTAATAAGCAAAATAACCTAGTAGCATTAGTGTGATGTAGAGTCAATCCAATGACATTAGTGTAGGACTTATTGTAGTGACGTCAGTAATAAACAGAATAACCTAGTAGCATTAGTGAGTAAGAGGATCATAATGGTAGCATCAGTAACAAATAGTCTTCTTAGTGATCAAAGTAAAAGAAGAAAAGTTTTGTAGTGGGGTCAGTAAGAAACAAAGATCAAAACAAATATGTTTGTTTTATTATATAGTTCATTCAATATATATTAAGCTTAATTATCAAATACAATGTATAGAACTAATTTCATAAACTTCAAACGTTTATTATAAGATGTTTTGGCGAATTAACAATTTCGTCTGAATATCAAGTGGCACGATTTATTCGTTATCCCTGTAACTACTGCTCGAGTTACTAGTCAGTGAATTTAATCACCAAGTATACCAATTTTGATGTTTATTAGCCCTTTGTTCAGGATGTTGAATGAGACAGATTAAATTAATCTCTTTCTGATATTCTTCATCTATCTACAGTCAATTGCTAAGCCTTGGGGATATGTCTTTCTCCATCATTGATTGTTATGCTCTTTCATTTCTTATTAATGACTGGTAATCTCTTCTGACGAGGTTAATACATGATTAATAAAAACGACTTGTAGTAAGCTTTTCTCGGTATAGGCAGAGAAAAAAAAGAGACTGTGACCAGGAATTAAACACTTCTCCGTTTAAACTTGAATATAATATTTATGACTCTGAATAAGCTGTGCTCTTTTTGACCCTTAACAGAAGGGATATTTTCTCGCCAGATGGCTTCATAATATATGCAAAAAACGACTGTTAGTCAGTCGCTGAAACAAAAACGAGCCTTAAATCTGAGGCCACTGTTGCCTGAGTAAATTTATCATCTTTTAGTCGGTTGTAAAAATGTTTAAATTTTCAGTAAACATGGAATGTTAAAATGAGTTTAAGGAAAC